TAGTTGACATAAGACCTGAGATAGGAATCCACTGACTCTGTCTGGGTCAGTAGAGCTTGTGATGGAGGTAGCAGCCCAAAGTGAAAGCAGTGGTGATACCATCAGTGCTGAAACCCTGCAGCCCACAGGCTAACCTGACAAATGAGGCTCCCAATGAGAAACACCTGTTTCCTTCTGTATTTAAACACACTCTTTGAGGCCAGTTATCTGCGCTGATAACTGAATGACACACTGCTGAAGCAAATCCAGACCACACTCATTTGAACACCAATGATGTCTGGGCGAACACCTCGTTACGAGCTCTCCCCTCTTTGCATCTGCACCACCCAACACTTGCATCCCTTAGGGCTCACATTCAAAATCCAGTGGATAGAGCTGCAGGGAAACCCGGCGTGAAGATGTAAATCTGGGCTTTTTCTTCACTCTGAGTCTTATATTGCTGAGCAACTTATGATCCTCAGGACAGCAAGAGGTGAAGGGAGTTAACCCAACTTTTATTTGCAATTAAGAGGTTATAATATGTTTAAGGCGCACACGAACCTTTATGATTTAAATGTGTATCTAATAGAGAGCTGCAGGGATGAGGTATTTTTCTAATCTCTGTGGTAAAGAAACGTTTCAGGTTTAGCTCATCAAAAATAATCTTCACTAATGAACTCCACTTTTATGATGTTTGAAGTGTAAAGTAAAAAGTCTGTAAAGCAACTCCACCACGGTCACGTGACTTCATGTTAGTCTGTAAAGGAACTCCACCACGGTCACGTGACTTCACGTTAGTCTATAGAGGAACTCCACCACGGTCACGTGACTTCACGTTAGTCTATAGAGGAACTCCACCACGGTCACGTGACTTCATGTTAGTCTGTAAAGGAGCTCCAACACGGTCACGTGACTTCACGTTAGTCTATAGAGGAACTCCACCACGGTCACGTGACTTCACGTCTCCTCCACTAAGCTAAAGGAGGACTGGTGTTCTAGTGAGGAGGTTTAGTCGTCTCATTTACACTCTTTAAGATTCACCAGAGGGGCGTTCACTGACCTATTTTATATCAGAGAACTAAACATTAAAAACTCTTCAGCTCCTTTTGTCAGACATCTAACGAAAAAAACACATTGACTTCAAGACGAGTGAACAGGAAGTGGAATAATGCTGTGTCATTTCCTGGTTCTAGGACTCATTTCTGCAGAACTCTATAGGACCAAACTTAAATGCATTGTTTGCCTGTAGTAGCAGTTGTTTGCTTTCTTATCATCGTTGACAGTGGATTCCAATTTCAAGATAAAAATTGCCCCAACAAGCAACTGGTTTCTGTTTCTGACTCCTTTTAAATTCCAACAAAATAAAAGACATCTAAATGTGTAAGAAACAAACAAACATTCATTTCCGCAGTGAAACATGCAGACGTGTCTTCTGAGTTTCTGCTTGCGGTTTCTGAACGTTGCTGGCCGGTGAACCTTGAAGAGCATGCAGGTGTTTCCCTGCAACACTAGACCGACCAACACAGAGCAGTTTCAGGGTCAGGATTAAATCGAGTCTCTAGAAGTTTGTAGCTGTTCACGATGCTGATTTGATGAACAGTGTTTTCTTCTTGAGTAAGGATGCAGAGGAAAAGATGCACCGACTGAAAAGTTCAGTGCTCAGAAAGAGGGAAAATGCAACTGAGCTGCAGGAAATATCACACAATGAACTGAATATCAAACAGTTGTTTCTAACTAAGTATTTCACGATCTTTTTCCAAACCTAACTATTTCAACATCTTTTATTAAACCTAACTAAATATTTCACCATCTAAGAAACAACTGTTTTTAAAGTTTGTTGGCAGTTAGACCTCATTCTGTTTGGCCCCAAATATATATATTAAACATATGATATAAGTTGGTACCTTTGAAGTTAAATCAATTTGTTCCTGTCAAACCTTTAAACCGTCTCACGAGCCTCTTTCACGTTTCCAAAAGAGGAAGTCCACCACAGTGAAATGACTGGAAACAACACAACTGCCGGCTGCGTCACAACCATTTGCACCTAACATCGTTTAATCTGCACCTGCCTTTTAATCCATCTATGGAAATAAGGCAAACAATCTATTTCATCGGAACCTGTTCAGAGATTCAATGTTACAGGGAATGAGAATCTTTTTTTCCCATTAAACTGGTTTCTTGTTTATGAGCTGAAATCGACTGACTTCCTTGTAATCGTCTCAGAAAACGTCAACAAACGACATATGATCTCTGCAATGAGGTGCTCTGTGTGTCGATTTATGTAACCGCAGTCATTTTGAGACATTAACACAATTACCGCAAACAAATGACACCGTTGGCAAGAAGCCTGGCAGCTAATGCCGGTGTGTGTGTGTGTGTGTGTGTGTGTGTGCTCTTCATTTGACTGGATGGTGCCAACAGGCCTCAATTTGGAAGGAGGAGAAGGAGGAGAAGGGGGAGGAGGAGGAGGAGGAGGAGGAGAAGGAGGAGGTGGAGGAGGAGGAGGTGGAGGAGGGGGAGAAGGGGGAGGAGGAGGAGGAGGAGGAGGTGGAGGAGGGGGAGAAGGGGGAGGAGGAGGAGGAGGAGAAGGGGGATTTTGGGGATTTAGCCTGTATGGCCTGAGGGTGAAGTAAAAAACGGTCAGGGGGGCATGTTGTTGCAGCCAATATCGTTTTATACTTGTGTTTTTGTGTGTGTGTGTGTGTGTGTGTGTGTGTGTGTGTGTGTGTGTGTGTGTGTTTAACTGTCTTCTCTTCTTAACTACCTCTTTTGTGAGGCATCACTCATGTTTATCTGAATCACAATTAACTTAAATAAGACAAAGGATTTAAATGTCAGTATTTATAGCAAATGTACACAAAGTTCATATCAGCTTCAACAGGTATAAAGAAAGTTTTTTTTCTCATTTCATAATATTTTGTGCCCCGAAGAGAAGCAAAAGTCCAGCAACGTGTTATTTCCTCTTATAAAGTATTTTTAAAATAAACTTACGTCTTCACAGGAAACAACTTAGTTAGGTTAAAGCAGCAGAACTGCTGAGTTAGGTTCAGGACAAGATGATGAAAGATCGGCCTGCGTAAACACAAATGCATTATAACGCGCAGACTGAAACCAACTAGCTTACACATTACTAAGCGTCACAAAATGGTGAAATTATCGTACATCGTGGCGCTTTCGGCATTACTCCGCCCACGTCTAGCTAACCTGTCGGATTACGCTGGAACATGAACCTCAACGAGATGTTGACTCACCTCTGTTTCTCCAGTTGAGTTTTACACTAAAGCCTGATGACTCTTATCGAGATCTTCAGATTATGCAGTATAACGACTGTAAAATGGACACATTCTCTACTCACATGCCTCAACAGGTCAGCATGGGCAAACTCTCCGGTCTGACATACCGATTCAGATCCGGCTGTGGGGCTCGTACCTCTCCCATGCTGGCTCCACTCCACTGGTGAATTCTGGATTCATTTCAGAATGGTGCTGATTACCAGCAAAGTGCTTCCTGAACAAGCCCCAGTATGCAGCTTCATCCTCGTGTTGCAACACATTGAACTATTTCAGATGGTTCTGAAACGTTCTGTATGAGTGTTCATGTTAGTTTAGATATTTTTAAAGAGAAATAAAACCCATCTTTTCAGTCAGTCTTTCATGGAGTGTTTTATAATCTAATGTTTTTTGTTGCTAATTATTAAGTCGGATTCTATACAGTGTCTTTATTGTGTGTTTTTATGGTTCTAGTATTTATACATATCTTATTTGTTATTTTATTTCACTCTAATTTGACTTAATCAACGTGCTTTTGTCATTTTAGTCTGTTTTTATATTGAATTGAGTTGAATTTGATGCGATTGTATTTTATTTTATTCGCTGCCTTTCTTTGATCGTCTTTTTGAAGAAATCGTCGTGACGTCGCTCATTGTTGTTGGACTAACGTTTTGGAGTCTCAAGTTCGGCATTTTAGCTGTCGCCATCTTGCTTTTTCTCAACCAGTCAACAGGAAGTGACCATATCTGGACTGAGGAGGAGTGACGTAGAGACGGCGTATACGTCTCTGGTAGAGACCTGTCAATCACTGTGTAGCCCCGCCCTAAAGCATCCCCTGCTTTATGGTCTGTTTGACTCTAAATGGACCATAATGTACTAAATGAACATCATGCTGTATTGAAGAAGACTTGAAACTAGAGATTGAGACCATAAACTCATGTTTACAATGTTTACTGAGGTAATAAATCAAGAGAGAAGTAGAGTCATTTTCTCATAGACTTCTATACAACCAGAGGAGTCGCCCCCTGGTGGGCACTAGAGAGAATGCAGCTTTAACTCATGAAGCTCTGGCTTCACATCTCTTGATCCTGAGATTCTCTTGTGATCAAATCCAGCTGCCGTTAAAAGGTAACATAACTCCTGCTAAAACCCGAAATTGATGTTTTACATTTCTGAATTTGTACGAATTAAACAAACAAGACACAAGATGTCAGTTAGTGAACTTTGGTGATTGGTGTATCTTTGCACAGAGCCAGGCTAGCTGTTTCCCCCTGCTTCCTGTCAATATGCTAAGCTAGGCTAACCAGCTCCCTGCTTAACACACACACATGAGATTGATAGCAATCTTCTTGTCTCAAACCAAGCAAATCAGCATATTTTAAATGTTGCTACATACCTTTCAATTTGATCATAATAGCTGTATCAAGAACACAATAAATTAATTGATTGTTTAAATGTGAACAACGTTTCTTGCTTATGGATGAAACCAAGAGCTTTATTCATAACTTTTGATGAAAGTCACAGTCTAATCTTTCTCAGACAAACTTTTTGTGTAACTTCGTTTGGTGGGGAAGGCTAGGAAGACATACACATACACACACACACACACACACACACACACACACACACACAC